GTCGCTGCAACGAGCATCAGATAAATGCAATATCGAGCGCCGATGATGACAGAGTCTAACGGTGGCATTAGTCCCTCGCCTTCCCACCTCTGCCCGAGATGTCACCCATCGGCATCGTCTACTGCCCCCGCGAGCCTTTGTGCGCCACAGAGAATGGACGGCGTCCGCTGACCGCGCTGGACGCGACTTATACCTGAGCTCACGACCGGCCGCGGCCAGTCCCACCATCACCCCTTCGCGAGTCCCCACCCGCCGCCGGCACCCGCAAGCGCTCCCAGGACACGCCTTCGTCTCCCAGGCCGTGCCGACAGCGTCCGCCTTCCCGCAGCCGTTTGCGTTAATAAGCATCTCAAACGAGGTCGATCCCTCTCATCCGCCCCCAACCCCTCATATCGCCATCGGGCACGCCAATCGTCACCAGGGGGCACGCGCCCCGACAGAACGGTACCTTTTCTCGCCGCCCATGGGCACATCCGTCCCGATCCGATCCTGCTTCGTCGTCGTCGTCGTCGTCGTAACGTGCACACCCGGCCTCGACTCAGTCGTACGCAGCGTTCAATAACCGCAACAGGTGCGCCCGGTTCGCGTCCCGCTCCACGTCTGCCGCGTCCTTGTGCACCTTCAGCTTGATCTGCAACGCGGGGAGGGACGGCGTGAGCACATGCTCGCGCGACATCTCGCGCGAAAAATAAAGGCAAGTTGACAGCCGACGCACCTTCTTCCCCGTCAGGATGCTCCGCCGCGAGTGCGAGCGGCTGCCGTACCCCGTCCGGTCCCTGCTGCGCGAGCGCGAGCGGTGCCGGCGATGCCACGCGTGCCCCAAGGACGACGACGACGCCGACGCGTGTCGGCCGCCGTCCTCGTCCTCGCCCAGACCCCGGCGGCGCCGTCTCTGCGTTCAGCGTTCATCATTGGCGTTTGGCGTCGAGCGGTCAGAGTAGTGGTAGTACCTGCGCCGTCAGCCCTGGGCACAACAACGCACGAGGAAAAAAAGACCGTTGACTCACCGATGCCGGACTCGCCGATCGTGACCCGCTCTTGCTCTTGCTCTTGCTCTTGCTCTTGCTCTTGCTTCTGCTTCTGCTTCTGCTCCTGCTCCTGCTCCTGCTCCTGCTCCTGCTCCTGCTCCTGCTCCTGCTGCTCTTCTCCGGCTTCTCATCCCTGGCGCATCTCAAGGGCCGTTCGGCGCGCTTATCGTCCCGTCGCCCCTCGCGACTCCGGCTGCGGCTCCGTTGATGGCGTCCCCGGCCGCCGCGTTCGCGCTCGCGGTCGTCTCTCCTGCGCCGCGGCGACCTGCTCCTGCTCCTGCTGCGGCCCCGTCGCGCGCGGTCTGCGTGTGTTGTTATCGTGCGCACGTTGCACGTGGGGCGGGCACGAGCAAGCAGGGCGCAAGGCAGGCGGGCGAATTTTTGCAGATGTTTTTTTTTTTTCGTTTCGTTTCGTATCGTATCGTATCGTCCAAAACAGACGCGGCCAGCCGAATCGGGTTGGGCCGGGTCAGGGCCGGGCGGCGCGGCGTGGGTCGCACAGGTGGCGGCGGCGGGCAGTCAAAAAATCGTAGCAATATTTGGGGGGCACAAAGCTGGCATGAGTACGGACGGACGGACGCGAGGTTTGGAGAACAGGATCGCTGCAAGCTGCCTGCTTACCGTCTCTTCGTCCGTGTCCGTGTCCGTGTCTGTCCATCAATCGTCGCGTCATGTACGCTTGGTTCTGGGCGAGACGGAGGCAGATGCATGTGTGTATGGTGAGGGTAGCTCACAGAGACGTGTCGTTAGCGCCGCAGCACATGCTTTGACGGGCCAATGCCATGACAAATGTGAAACAGGAAATGCGCAGCAGCAGAAATTCTTTAGATTTTCGGACGACTTTACTCGAGAAAAGATGGCCTCGTAAGGTATAATATTACACTAGCGATGCTGTACTTCTAAGCGGACCCAAAAAAGGTGGCACGTCAGCAAGGGGGGTGGGACGCGAGGCGGCAGGCGCGCGCCGTCGTCGGGTGAGAACGAACGAAAGAGCATGCAGCTGAGAAATAAATAGGTTAATGAAAACAACCAAGAGCCAAAAGAGCAAAGGTAGTCCATCCGGTCCAAACAGTATAGGTAGAAGCACACACACACAGTGCCCTCGCTGGTTCTGCCAGTGAAAGCACCAAGAAAGCAACAACAAAAAACGGAGAGGGTGAGGTAGAGAAGTAGCAAGAAACGCGGCGAGCGAGGGGCTATATCGCGTGCCCAGTCTCTATCGAGTACGAGCTGCCTCTCCAGCCCTCTCCGTGCTCCGCGCCATCATGCGCCGCACCGCCGCCGCCATACGCAGTTGCATACGCCGTCGGCGTCTGGCCGTCGTCAGGCGGCTCACGCACACTCATCTCGTACGCCTCCAGCGGCCGCTGCGCCTGCTGCTGTTGCGGCTGCGGCTGCTGGATCGGGCGGCCGCCACCGCCACCGCCGCGCGGCGCGGGGATCTGCAGCGTCGTCGTCGTCGTCGCCGACGCCTGCGCCGTCAGCGGCTGCTGCGAGATCGACGACATCGGCGGCGACTCCTGCTCTGAGAGTGGCGACGGCAGGGGGATGTTCGACGCCGAGTAGTACGACCCGCGGAATGTCGCGGGCGACGGCGTCATGCGCTGGCGCGCGGTCGCGAGGTCGTCGGCCTGTTGCGACGCGGACAGCGGCGAAGGCGAGGAGCGCGTGCTGCGGGGGCTGCGCGGCATCGGTGGCGTGCTGCGGTCGGGGTCCGACTGGAAGCTCGAGACCTCGGATTCGGATCGCAGGTGTGGTCGGTGGAACATGGGGGCCTGCTCGATGTCATTCCTCGCGGACTTCTTCATGTCCCGCCTGTGCTTGACGCCCAGCTGCTCCTTGAGGTCGCCGTCGACCCACATCTCCCGCACGATGTCCCGGTCCTGGGGGAAGTAAGCCGACGAGATGTACTTGACGAGGAACCGAGGTGCTGTAGGACACTCCATTAGGAAAGTCCATTGCTGCAATGAACGTGTACTCACTGAGAGCAACGAGCACGGATACGATGACGGAGAACCAAAAGATGCTCGTTCCGCAAAGGACGATGACCTCGTTCACGAAATCGCTACTCTCGAAGAACGAATAGATGACAATCCACAAAAACATGACAATAGACGAGCCGAGGATGACAGCCCATGCAATGACAGTCCAGCTGTCGGTGGTAGTTAGCACCGTACCGCAGCGATAAAGGTAGCAGTAGACATACTAATGAGTGCTGATGCCAACGTAGGTGTTGGCGGCCCAGATTGCGGCGACGGACACGGTAGTACCAAAGTCCGCCAGAGACTCGACCGCCCTTCCGTCCGAGGACAATGGTGCGCCGAGGGCCCATACAAAATAGGGAATGTAGAACACCACGAGGGATTGGTATAGGCCGTCTAGCATGTAGAGCCAGAATTTAGTCCGAGTATATTCTAGGCCACGTATGCCCCGGACATAAAGTTGTGGGAACGCTAGCGCGGCCTTGGCGTTTATATCCTGATCGAAAGCTAGAGAGAGATGAGATAAGCACACGATCTATGCGGGCTACCTGGGTAATTTGCGCACCTCCAAGAACAATGACTGGAAGAGACGTAAAAAGGACGTTGTAAAGAATAATGAAGGTGTACTCGTAGAGATACGTGGCGTCAAAGCTGTTATAGATCAAGTACCAGAACATGGCAAAAGTCCAGATAACGTTCTACATTGCGGTGAGCAACCGGTACAAGCAATGTACTGTCTGTAACTCACCTTGTAGAAGAATACACTGTGCATGTCCGCTATACGCTGGTATGACCACCGACCGTGCACGATAAGCAGCTTCGTCAGATAGCGGAACTGACCAAAGGCGTAGTCAGCGGACATGGCGGCTTGCGAGCCCTCATGACCTAGGAGACCACAGCCGACGTTCGCCTCTTGGATCATAGCGACGTCATTAGCACCGTCACCAATAGACAGTGTCATCGCGTTCCGCCCTTCTTTGACCTACGGTGACAGGTGAGCGATACGCCTCAAAAGCGATATCAGAATGCGGAACATACCAGCCTCACGACTAGTGCCTTCTGTGCAGGAGACACACGACAGCAAACCACCGTTTCGCACTGAGTAGCAAGGTTCAGGAACAGCGGCTTGAGAGCAGGCTTAAGCGCATGCCGCAGGGTGTCACCATCAATGACAACAGCAAACGCCTGCTGCGCGCCAGGAACGAACCCACGTCTCGAAGGGTCGAGTATCGGAGGCCCAAGGATAGAGTTGATCTTGTTGATACCAGCCTCAATCTGCAGCTGCGTCGACTCGGGCGTGTCAGCGGACAGAATCATGACCTCCATGTCGCTCTTCAACAAGTTGCAACTGAAGCCTGCGCCGACGATTAGCAAAGCTCAAAGAAGCTAACAAGGGCAGACATACCGATCTCAATAGCAGTCTGCACCTTGTCTCCAGTCAGGATCCACAGTTTGATGCCCGCCTTGTGCAGCGTCTCGATCGCCTCCGGCACGCCCTCTTGGAGCTTGTCCTCGAGCGCAGTGGCACCAAGAATGTACAGCGAATGCTCGATCTTCTCGTTCGCCTTGTCAATCTCCTCGTCGCGGTCCGTGACTGCGCTGGTCGCGGCGTCGTACACGCGCTGCCACTCGATGTACTCCTCCTCGGACAGATTCCGGTACGCGATGCAGAGCGTGCGCAGGCCGCCGTTTGCGAATGCCTCCATGTCCCGCGATGTCTGCGCCTTGAGCTCTGGGTCGTGGTCCGACGCGAGCCGCTGGTAGATCACGCTGTCTGCGCCCTTGGTGTACAGCACGACCTGCCCCTGCGGGTTCCGCACGACGACGCTCATCCGTTTCCGCGTGCTGTTGAACTCGATGAGCTGCAGCAGCGTCCACTTCTCCAGCTGGCCCATGACCTCGATTTCGAGCGTGTCCTTGCGCTTGTTGACGAACGGGAAACCGACATCGCGAGCCGCTGCTACGAGGGCAGCCTCGTCAGGAGACTCGGCTTTGTACTCCAGGTCGTACGGTTTGCTGTTCGGCTCGGGTCTGTCGGCCAGGACACTATGGCAGAGAGCGAGAGCGCGGAAGAAGGCGATAAGATGAGGTCGCTGGGCCGATGAGCGATCCGCGAGGTCGTCAGCAAGCTTCGGCGAAATCAACGTTAGCTTCTCGGATTGCAGGTATCGGTTCTTGAAGGCCCGAGACAGCTTGTCTAGCATTTCCGTCTTCAGCACCCGAAGCTGCTGATCTTGCTCTTCGGGATCTATGGGCTCCTCTTTGCCTTCCCGCTTCGAAGCACCCCTCTGCGCCTCAGTGATGCCTTCACCGTACGGCTGTCCGTTCACGGAGCACTTCTGGAACTCCATGACGTTCTGAGTGAGGGTGCCGGTCTTGTCGGAGAATATGTACTCGATCTGGCCGAGGTCGTCAGAGATGTTCCACGTCTTCGGCGCACACGCAGCATCCAGAGGCTTGTAGTACATGTCCACATCCTGCGCGATGAAATACGCCTGGATCGTTTTCACGATTTCGATCGAGATGTATAGCGAGATGGGCACGATGTTCTGGAAGGCGATCAAACATGCCCTACGTACACCGTTAACAATCACCGCCACCGAACAGCTGGAATACTCACGCCGCGGTGACAATCCCGTTCACGACGAACGAGCTTGTCGGGTCTACGCCCTGCTCAAAGAACTTTGCACTCGTATCTGACTGCGCGTCCCACCACCCGCTGCCGACACCGGAGATGATACACATCACGCCAAGGATGACAAAGTTGACGATGACGTTGAAGTTCGTCTCCCTCTCGATCTTCGAGCGCTTCGAGGGCGTTTCGCCGCCGTTCAACATGATCTTCGAATCTGCGCCAGTGAAGACGACAAGGCCGATGATCCACGCCGTGTTGCGAACAGTGCACCCACGTAGCAGAAGCTCGTTGATGCTGACCGACTCCTGCTTCTGCTCACCCGTATTGAGATCAGTATACCGGATGACACCGTGGTAGAGGTAGAGGTTCTGGTGCGGCGGCTCCGAGTCGAGCACAAACTGCATGCGCTCGACATCTTCCTCCGAGGCGATAGAGGACGTCGCGCGCACGGATCGCCGGGGCTTCAGGTTCGTCTCGCCGTCGAGGTTCTTCGTCTCGACGTAGCACATGTTGTCGGCGTCCGACGTGGACAGGACGACGATGTCCGCAGGGACCTGCTCGTTCTCGCGGAGGAGCACGACGTCGCCGACCTCGAGCTTCTTCCAGAGCGTGCGCTCCCAGCGCACGGTGCCCGTGACGCGCCTCTGGTAGTCGACCGCGCCGGACGAGGGCCGCGACTCGAGCGAGGGCTCGTAGTTCCCGCGCAGGGCGCCCTGCACGCCGCGCCACGGCTCGTGCTTTGCTTCAGGCGTGTCCTGCGGGGACGGCTGCTGGGGCGGGTACTGGTGCGACGCCTGCGAGGAGATGCTCGGGATCGCCTCGAGCGCGCGTCCGCCCGCGCCGGAATAGAAGTCGAGCTCGGGTACGGTGTGGTCCGCGTGGTGGTCGTCGCCCTCCTTGCTGAGCACGATCTGCATCTTGCCCTCGTCCGCCTCGCGCTCGCGCAGCTTGCGCACGCCCTTCGTGACCTTGCCGGGCGGGTTGATCCTGAACAGCTTCTCGAGCCAGCTGCGCGGGTCGGACGGCTGGTTGACGTTCGTCCACTGTGCGAGCTTCGTCGAAGCCGAGTTGTTGACTTCCTCGTCGAGCACCGCGCGGCGGTAGTCCTCGATGGCATCTTTGATTGCGGTGACTGCGATGATGAACAGCAAGGGTAGCACGCCAGTCTGGGGCGAAGGTGCACCGAAAACTGGGAAGATCTGGAGGACGGCCACGGCCAGGAAATAGAGGTTCGCTACCCTGGGGGCGAAAGGTCACACAACTTGTACGGGCAGCGTCGGCCGAACGGACAACGTACCTGCGAAACTGCTCGAACAAGTTCTTGGGCACGAATGTGATGATGGTGTACTCTGTGCGACGGTCATTTCGCGTAACCTCGCGTGGAAACTCGATGGGTACTCACTGCTTGTCCGGACTTTATTCCGAACGTAACGAACGACCGGCTCGCCTTTGTGGTCGAGCTCATCGGGTGGTAGGGGCATGTTTACGTAGATATTCCTGCGGACGCCGGTCACTGGCGGGGCCGCACCTGGCTCTGGTGGAGACTCCGTGATGCTTGGGTCCTTGACACGCTTCTTGTCTGTCCCCCTGCGGAAAAAGCCCATCGATCTCTTCCTCTTCATCGTCCGTCTCCGCTGGGTCCGCTGTTCGGTGCGTATCGACTCTTCAATGGTCGAGTGCGCGGTGCGAACCGTGCGCAGGCGAAGCTCGGGGTCAATGGCAGCGTTCTCATCATCAATGTCGGGGTCGTCATGCTGCGCAGTTCGTCGTAGTAGATGCATTCGAGAAGAGACTCTAGGTTGACCGGCAAACACGAGGGGTATCCCAGGACCAGCGAGGGTAAATTAGAGTGGGCTGGGAGCGGAAGGTGAGGGGAAGAACGAATGTTTATGGAGAGGCAGTACCCTAGCATGAGGGAACATCAAACTGTGCTTGTGAAACGCTCTGTCACACCGTGGCTGTAAGCTACGTTTAAAATTAATTATCTGATAGCCTAGGAACGCCCCCGACAAGTCCAACAACCTTAAGAAATTGAATCCTAAATTATTTCCCGCCAAGCCCGTCCTCAAACTCGACTTGAACCGCCACCTCCCCTCGTAACACGCAAAGACACTGACACCTGGCACGAGCGTCGACGTGTCCTGTGACCGAGAGAGCTCTCCGACCTGGCGTCCACACCGCCTCAACTCATCTACCAGCATCATCCGATATATCGTTCTCGCATCTGTATCATATCAAGCCACTGCGCACGCAAAGAGATGCTGACATGTCGAAGCCGTGCCGATTCCCAACGCCGAAAGGATTCGCAGGGCCCAGTCGGTCGTTTCCATCTCTACTGGCACGGCGAGCACGGCGAGCGCGGCGAGCAGGCCCGACGCGACAGAAGAATACCCACGCAGCGCTCCTAGACATGTGAATCTCGGTTCCTGGGCGAAGCCGTACGGACGCGCGTCCACTGGTCGGGACGCCGCCATACATGGCGACGGGCAGTCCACGCCGTTTCCAGCGGCGCCGGCGGTACGTGTTTGGGCGATGGCTGCTGCTGCGCCCCTCCTCTCCATTATTTTATCACGGCCTTTTCGTACGCGGGCGGTTGGTTCTTCCCCACCTTTCGTCCTTCTTCTAGGTACGTCAGCGCGCCCCCCTCTCGGTCGCGGAGGCACGATCTGCACCCCACTCTATCTGCACCCACAGGACAGAACGTTCTGCCAGAGATTTGGGCCGCGGCTGGTGGGTTGGCAGTGCCTGGCGGAGAGAAAACAAACCGCCGTTCCGCAGAGACCTCGCGCCTCCAGGCAGGCCTTCGCGAGGCCAAGGGCTTGGTCCTTGGGAAAAGCTTGCTAGCCCTTCTCCGACCCTCGCTTCGCTTGGCATGCAGTGCAACGAGGGAGGCAACCCTTTTGTAACCAAGTAGATCGAAGCAGTTACCACTCTTGTCCCGGCGCCCGTCCTTGCTTGGAAGCAGCCCTCGTGGGTGCCAGCGTGATATGGCGTGCGCTTTAGATCTAACGTTCATTGCTGCTGCGTGTCAAGTGAAGCCAACTACTGATATATGTACATGAAGGACGATGATGGACGCTGTGGTGCTACATCTATGGAAAGACAGAAGAAAGAAGTCAGCAATATGTGTGGCAATGCTATAGAACATGAGGGATAAGATCATGAAATGAAAAGCTAATAAGTTAGATATGTATGAGGCATTGCTGAGAACGGGAACGACCCGATTTGCGAGTCCATGCTGGGGTCGTGTCTAGGGTGTTGCAGCGGCGCTGCGAAGCAACTGTAACTGGTCGTGTGACTGAACTTTTTTTTTTCAACTGTGTCATGACCGAGCTGTACTGAAGGCAGACGGGAGTCAGCAGGGGGCTCGCAGGACACAACAAGGACACGACGCACGCTATGGCACCGACAGCAGACGACAGCTGCCTCTGGAAGGCCCTGACATACTCGAACTGCGGGCCCGTCTCGGGGCTGCACGGGAAGCGCTTGCACTTTTCGACGAGCTTCCACTCCTCGGCGATGAGCTGCAGGGCGTGGGCGCCGTCGCGTGCGACGCCGGACTCGACGAGCCAGCAGCCGACGACGAGGCCGGTGCGGCCGATGCCGCCGCGGCAGTGGACGGCGCAGATGCGCCCGCGGCGCTCGTTGTCGCGGAGCACGGCGAGGATGCGACGGACGAGGTCGACGCTGTCGGGCAGGCTGCGGTCGCGGATGGGGAAGTTGTGGTACGCGACCTCGCGCGGGTCGATGTTGAGCGGGACGCAGCGCTCGGCGAGGTGCGGGGAGTACGGGAAGAGCTCGTGCGGCTCGGTGAGGTCGATGAAGGTGCGCACGCCGGCGGCGAGGAGCGCGTCGAGCTTCTGCTTCGTCCTCTTGCGCGCCGTGTCGGCGGGCGTGAGCGGGCAGTACGGGAACTCGCACGCCACGAGGAAGGGGGTGGCCCAATAGGAGTTGGGTATCGGCCGTGGCCGGTCGCGAAGGACATTGGAGGGTTTAGAGATGGGCCCGCGAGGTGAGAGAGGCTCGAGCTGTGGGCGGTAGAGAGGCTTGAGCGTAGACGGGCTGCTTTCGCAGATGACACTCATAGTCGGGGAGTGAAGGGTCGTTAACGAACGAGAGTCGGTGGGAGGGAGCGATGTTATATAGGCATGCGGGACAAGGTCCAGGACAATGTGGTTGTTGGTCCAGGCCAAGAAGCGCCTTGCGCTCGTCGAAGTCTTCACAGCCCCGCTGTACGTCCCTATCGGTCCATGTCCATCCGCCCACAGCCGGGGCCTCCGCCATGCCATCCGAGCGAGCGCGGCGCACTGTTGTTTCAGATGTCTCGTCCCTTGACCGTTTCCTCTATAAGACCAGTCGGCCCTCGCACAACCTGGCAGCCTGAAATGACTCGAAAACGGTCTCATCGGGCACCGAGTGCGCCCCCGCGCTGGGGGCGGAACCAGCCGGACACCTGATACCGCCTTGTCTTCTCGGTTGACCTAGAAGAGCTCGACGACGGTCCAAGATGCAACACCGTGTACGGTGGTCTGATGCAAATCACAACGTGCGAACCTTGAGGAGGCCTGCGAGCTATACAAAGTCGACGGCGGAACTTTCGCAGGCTCGGACTCACCCGCACTCCGTGTGACGACAGTTTACGCCTGCTCTCCACCGCGCCAGGCTTCGGACCGTCTCTCACGGCGACACTCCTCTTTACCTCTGTCTGTGGCTGCAAACGAAACATCGCTTAATGTCGCCCAACGACGTCAACGCGGAGCTACTTGATACACATTTTCTGCTCTCCTGATTGTTTCGCCGCTTTCGTAGAGGATTCCCGGAACGAATGCGAGATCTTTTGGTGCGATGATTCCCGAACTGTCCCCCATGCCCTGGAAGTTCGTCGTTACGGTCGTATCGGACCCTATCCAGCTAGGACGTTCATTCTATAGCTGCTGTGTGCTGCCAGATCGCTGTTGCTCACGATATGCACGAACGTTTGAACGTGGAGGGGGCGTGCAGGGCTTAGACGACGGTGCGGTGCGGGGAAGATACGATAAGTTATCGGGCATTGTGCGCTCGGCTGTGCTCGCATTGCCATTGCTCATTCGAAGGTGCCACTTATGTGGAGCAACCTTCATTCGCTATAGTCATCCTCAACCCCCTCGATTTTTGCCCGCTGGAGAGGACGAGCCTCTGACGGCACGGCTTCACATCCCCTGCCACGGCCTCTGCGCTCGAGAGGAGCTGCCCACAATGTCAATTGCTTCCTACGCCTTCCTCAGCGATATATAAGCCCCTGGACGACATGACCATGACCTCAACCGTCCAGTCTGTATACTCTCGACATCATGTCTCAACCAAGTCCTTCTCTCCCCTCCGAGTCTTCCGCCTTCATCACCACCTTCAACCCAACCAAGGCATGGTGGAAGTCCGCGTGTATCTACCAGATATACCCCATCTCCTTCTTCGATTCCAACGGCGACGGCATCGGCGATCTGCAAGGGATCATCGCCAAGCTCGACTATCTCAAGGAGCTCGGCGTCGATGTCATCTGGCTCAGCCCGATATACAGGAGCCCGCTCGCGGACATGGGCTACGACATGTGCGTTGCAGCCGGCTGTGCTCAATGGGAACGTGCACTGACGCAGATCCCTCAGCTCGGACTACGAGGATATCGATCCGAGGTTCGGCACGCTCCAAGACTGGGACGAGCTCGTCAAGGGCGTGCACGAACGTGGCATGAAGCTTCTGTGAGTACCGACGATCGCGTCTTGCATGTACGACCTCTGACGATGCCACAGCATGGATCTCGTCGTGAACCACACCTCGGACGAGCACGCATGGTTCAAGGAGTCGCGCTCGAGCAAGACGAACCCGAAGCGGGACTGGTACATCTGGCGCGCCCCGCGGTACGACGAGCACGGGACCCGGATGCCGCCGAACAACTGGGAGTCGATCTTCCAGGGCTCCGCCTGGGAGTACGACGAGGCGACGGACGAGTACTACCTCCACCTCTTCGTCAAGGAGCAGCCGGACCTCAACTGGGAGAACCCCGACGTCCGCGAGGCCGTCTACCGCATGATGCGCTTCTGGCTCGACCGCGGCTGCGACGGCTTCCGCATGGACGTCATCAACATGATCTCCAAGGTGCCCGGCCTGCCTGACGCGCCTGTCCTGGAGCCGATGAAGGAGTTCCAGTCCGCCAGTCTCATGTACGCCAACGGGTGAGTAGGGCAATCGCTGGACGTTTATTGGTAACTTCGCTGACGTTAGTGTTCTACTGCAGCCCGCGCGCGCACGAGTTCCTGAGGGAGATGAACGAAAAGGTGCTCTCGCGCTACGACATCATGACCGTCGGCGAGACGCCGTGCACGCACGACCCGGCGCAGATCGCGGAGTACGTGCTGCCGCAGAGCCGGGAGCTCAACATGGTCTTCCAGTTCGAGCTCATGGACCTCGACCTCGGCGGGCCGGAGGCGGACGACGGCAGCGTCGAGTCGCTCTGCGCGCTCATGCACAAGCCGTGGCGGCTCGCGGACCTGCGGCAGTGCGTCGCCAAGTGGCAGGGGCACATGCGCGCCGCCGGCTACTGGAACGCGCTCTACATCGAGAACCACGACCAGGCGCGGTCCGTGTCGCGCTTCGGCGACGACTCGGACGCGTGGCGCGCCCCGTCCGCGAAGCTGCTCGCCCTCCTCCAGACCGCGCAGAGCGGCACGCTGTTCGTGTACCAGGGCGAGGAGATCGGCATGAAGAACTTTCCCCGCACGTGGGGCCTCGAGGAGTACAAGGACGTCGCGACGCTCAACTTTTACAGGGAGTGCGTATTTTTTTTTCTTGGCAGCTGGCCGCGTCTTGGTCTTTCGAGCGTTTGCGCTGACCGTCTTTTCAGGGAGCTCGCGCGCCGCGCCAAAGCCGCAGGCACGCCGGAGGCGGCCGTCGACATGAGCGACGTGCTCGACGGCTTCCAGAAGAAGGCGCGCGACCACGCGCGGACGCCGGTGCAGTGGAGCGACGCGGCGCACGCGGGCTTCACGACGGGCACGCCGTGGATGCGGGTGAACGACGACTACGGGCGGGGGTGGAACGTCGCGGCGGAGGTGCGCGACGCGGACAGCGTCTGGAGCTTCTGGCGGCGCGCGCTCGCGCTGCGCCGGCACCACGACGTGCTCGTCTACGGCGACTTCCGGCTGCTCCTGCCCGACCACGACCAGGTCCTCGCATTCACGCGCTCGCTGCACGGCGCGACGGCCCTCGTCGTGCTCAACTTCAGCGACAGGGACGCCGCGGTGCGCGTCGACCCGCCGTACGTCGACGTGACGAAGCTCGAGCCGGCGCTCACGAACTACACGGACGAGGAGGCGACGCGGCCCCTCGGCGGCCACGATATCAGGCTGCGCGGATACGAAGGAAGGATATACCTCTGATAGATCGTTGACAAACCTGCAATCGTCTAATCGCTTATTGTATGCTGCAAGGACGCTTTTTTCATTCATGTTCTGGATTTTGTAGCTCATTCGCAAGAACCCTCTAGTATACGTCTCCATAGTAGTCTGTGCATTTTACCATAAATCGCCTCTACTTGCTATATAGAATTGACAGATTTAATGTGGATGTTCTTCGACACCACTGCCTCCAGGCTGACGAAGTGCGCCTCTTCAAACGAGATCGGCTCACCGCTGCTTCTCAATCCTTGTCTATTTTCGAAGGAATGAAATTCTACAACGAGAGTACAGCTCTAGCGTATCCTGAATGAGCTGAAACTGAGACCGCGACGATAACGCAAAGGAGAAGGAGTAAGCGTCCCGGATGAAAGTGGTAAGCGCCTGAGCTGCAGGCCCCTCCAGCCTTCGAGGGCGGTGTTTACAGCGCTCGATAACACGGGCTTTGGTCGGAAATCACCAGTGATGGTCAAGTTCGCCCACGAGTACTCGTTCGAGGGCCGCAATGCCCTCTCCCACACGGGGCCGCCGCTCGCGCCGAAGCTGTGGCACTGCGCCAGAGTCGAGAGCGGCGGCATGCTGTACGTCGTCGCGATGGACTTCGTTGCGCACCGCCCTCGTCGGCTGTCTCGTGCCGACTGCGCGAGTTTCGACAAGGCAGTTCAGGTGCTCCACAACAGGAACCTTGTGTTCGGGGGCCTGCGCAAGTCGAACGTACTGTTGCGTCCCAACGGTGGATTGATGCTAATCGACTTTGACTGGTGCGGCACGGTTGGCGAGGCGCGGTACCCATACGACATTCAAGTGATTCAACTGATCAATAATAATATGCCGTGGCACTGGGGTGTGCAGCCCGGAGGCTTAATCACCAAGGAACACGATGAATTTCTCCTCGAGGGGCTTATCCAGGAGTCTGAGCATTCATAGTAGTCTGCATTACAATAAATCACATCATGCTTCATAAAATTGGCAAGGGTGGTCGCGAATACTCTTTGATAGCACATCTATCACTTGATGACGTGTTCAAATGAGCGCGGCTCACCGCTGCCTTTCAATCCTTGTCTACAAAGCGACGAGAAAGGAAAGGGGTAACGTTCCAAACTTAAAAGCCCTGAAATACATGCTCCTTGCGTATACTAAGCTTTGAGCTGAAACGAAGACAAAAAGGGGACCACAGGAAGACCAGGTAGAGAGCTACTCAGCGACCAGCTGGAATTCCTCGAGTTTCCTAGGCGGAGAGTGAGACAAAACGATCGAAAAAGGAGTACTAGAAGTACTTACTTCGAACGTCGATAGTTAACTACTGGTTCCCATGCTTATAACGTCTGGAAGAGCATCGTGTACATGGACTACTACAAGGGTCCACATCCCGTCTTCTTGCTGCACACCTCCGCAGCCCCGACACCTTCCTTAGAAGGCAAAGGCGCATCATCCTTGTGGCGTTTCCCTCATGCCAGGCACGCCCGTTGGACGGGGAGGACCGGGGAGTCTCAAACGACCTCGGAAGCAGTTTCAGGCAACGATTTTTGCAGAATGGATCTGCAGCAGGTCACTGGACCAAAGCTCCCGCGGCACCGCGCAGTAGATGGTCTCGAGTCCCGCGACGGTCAGCCCACGCGGCCTGCCGTCCAGGACTCGGGTATGCATCCACGTTCCGCAAAGTAAAAATGCTCTGAACTCCCACTACGCAGTTAGAAACGTGAGGACTCCCCTCTTTTCCAGCTGCGGGATCCCACAATTGGACGCAACCAAGTCTCATCGAAGCGAATGCCTTGACCGCGCGCTCTGCCGACGCTGCACTAAAACTCGGCACCCTGGCCTCTGGGGAATGAACACAGAAAATTATCATGTACAGTACCGTAACTATCAAAAGATGGCTAACGACGGAGATCAGAGCGTGTTTATGTAAACTCCCAGAATTTTTCGGCGCAAAATTTCGTCCATCTCATGCCAAAAACTTCTGCGCATCCATCTCTGCTGGCCAGGCCCAGGGCAGGACCGAGCAGAGCTTCTGGCGCACACGATTTGTTGGCTTCAAGTCTCCGAATAAACTTCGAGGAGTCCACATAAACACGCTCTACTATCGACATGCAGACGCAGAAGTCCCGGGGCTCCCGACACCCGAGGTGACGTACTCGTCCGAGCCGTCCAAGCCATCCTTCCGATGCATGCCGAACTCGCGATCGAAGTCGAACCGGCCGTCGTGTATTTCTGCCGAGTTTCGAATGCCGGAACTGCAAGTGAGATCCTATCGGTAAAGGTGTGGTGATACAGAGGAGGCAGAAGCAGGCGCACGTAACGTCGATGTTGCTTGTGAGAAAGTACGCCGTGTTGGGCTTCGGGAATGCTTCGTGGTAATGAGATGGTACTGTTTGGGAATATGTTTGGATGCTGGAGAAAATGAGATTAGTGGTGAAAACGAAAACGACGGAAACGAAGGATGTGTACTAACTGGCTTGAATCCTTGATTCTGAGTAGATGGATGACGGCAGCGGAGGATACCATGACACTGCATATGCGGCTCCGGTGAAGGCTACGGAGTTGGGTGTGATTTCAGCTTACCTTATCGTATTGCCTAAAAATCCTGAGTCAGCCGGCATGAGTGATGCAATAGGAATTGGCTCACCAGGCAATATACAGAAAACAATCATTATATCTATCTCGAGCAATCATCAGTCACATCCAACAGTCCAAACCCCAGCGACCCACAGTTCAACTCCAACCACGCCATTACCTAACAAGACTAGTCAGTCCACGGCGCCCAGGCCCAGCCCCGAGAGCGAAACATACCGTCATCGGAATGTTCGTGATACAAGTGATGACGAGGTACCCGACGCCCTGCGTGAGCAGCATGGTCCACAGCGGCGAACGCCGTGCGTCGTGTTGTGCGTATAGCGCTGCGACCGTGAAGCCAAGGATCGTCGTGTCCCAGAGCACCGCTGGGCAGAAATCAGCTCGATAACCACCAGATGCACGAGAGGGTGACGCACTATAGAGGTAGAACGCGACCAACTCGCGGTGCACAGTCCCAAAGTCTATGGTGCACACGCCAAGGTCGGGGTCGTACACGATGCCAAAGCCCTTGATGCCGACTACGATGTCTTGTGAGCACGCTTGTCCCGCGCGGAAGAAAGCACCCACGCTCGATGCAGAACACCCAGTGGGCAGCACACAGTGTGACGAGCAACGCGCATATGTAAATGTTCCCTTTCCAGAGGGTTAATCTGAAGTATGAGGTCAGTCAACAACGATATTTGCGAAAAGAAGGGGACATACGCGCGGAGTTGAAGATTGGTGCTTGCGGAGACGAGAGCCATGTTGCCCAGGACCTGTGTTCCAGAGTTAGCTGAACGATGATTCGCGCACGCTCGATACTGGAAGCTTACCGCGAGCGCTGTGACAGAGTCTATTGCATATTGTTAGCTGCTGTCTCTCTATATCCGGCAAATGAACGCACGGCTCCCTGCGGTGTCGCAGACCAGCTTCATCAGCTCATTGAGCTGATTCATGGCGAACCTTTATTATAGTTGTTAGAAATAGGGCAGGGACGATCGACAATTGCCATCGCACAGCATTATTAGTGTTGTCAATAGGCAATACCGCCCAATGAGGTAGATGCACTGAACGGCCGTCTTCAGCTGTGCAATACCTGAGATTTGGTCCATCACGACTCACTATCGCCACAGAAATCTGCAGGCGTCGAGTGATCAGGCCCCACTCGACATCGCGGAAGGTCAAGATGAAGAACCATCTATATTCTAACTAAGCATCTTGACAAGCACGACATGACGAAAAGCAAAACGTACAGATACATCCCGAGCATGAGCACGATTAGCCGCCCGAAGAGGAGCGCGCAGAGCTCAATGGTCTCCGGGCTCCACCAATCGACCATACTGCATCATCCACGGCGCTGTGCAAGCTGCAAAGAAAGTCTGTACGCAGCGCAACAAAAAGCGAGCGGAGCGCGGGCACGGGCAACATCCGGAGAGGATAACAGCTGGCGAGGCAGCATTTATACGTGTGCGCTTCTGCGTGCGCGGCGAGCGCATCCCGTTACTAGGTTCATGCGGTCGAGAAGGCGAAGTTGGGGGCGCCCCGCTTTCCTTTGCAATTGGAAGCCTTCTCTCCGTCCCTTCATCATCAGCGGTGCCGATGCCCGAGCAGGACTAGCACGTCGCCTGAGACCGTGGCGCGACCAGCAAAAGAAGCTGACGACGCCCGTGGATGCTGCACTCTTTCAAATCGTTCTCAAGCATGCGCGCAGCACCAGCACCAGACTATTCAGTCGGCCTAAAATTACAACGCGGATGAGGTACGACGTTCCCAGCCACACAGAAATACCTGAGAGCGCACTCGCGCTATTCCTGTTTTCTGCGGCCGGGCGAGTCACAGGTTGTGTTTTCTGTGCGCTGCGTCGCATGCGTGTGGGTGTCCTACATGTGCATATTGGGAGTCAGAGCAACTAGGCATCTGCACGTAATTACGCACAATGAGAGCCTTTGTGCGGTAGCATTAGCCGGAGATGAGGCTGTGATTCTGCCGAACGGCGCTGTCCGGGAGCCAAAGTGCGTATCAAATGATGCGGCGTGTACCAGAAGTGGAAGTGCGCATCAGTTCGCACGGCGATTTGGCGCCCTGTCCTCCTGCGTCCTCTTCTCAAGTGGAACTTCTATAACTGGCCCTTGCCTCGCCCTCTGCCGTTCATTTCAACGTACTCACTGTGGGGCATCGTATTCGCTGGATGCATAGCTGTGTAACATGATTAGAGGGGGGCGGTAACAGGGACAGTGCAAACGGCGGAGAACAGACGCAGAATGCGCGGCCCTGTACCCTTCGGGGATACAGCTTGTCAAACTCTTCAAGTTGGTACTGTTCCCGTACGTTGACCTCATAAGTCCGAGATATCTTTTGCATGCGCCGGCTTATTTTCGTCCCCCAGTCATTCTAGTTCGCCCAGAATGCATCGGGCGACCCGCCTGGTGCTGAGGCGGATGGTTTACGAAACTAGTGGCGTTGGCTACGGGCCCTGGCACCTCCTAGAAAAGAGTGTACCGCCAACAGGTTGGCCCCATGAGACGTCGTGCAGTCGCACGGCACCAGTCATATCTGTCCTCAGCGGTCTTCCCGGCGCCAAAGCTGGTCTTGCCCCGTTTCCGTTGCGTAGCCAGCCTCACGTCTGTTGTGTTCTATGATTAAACAGCATACAATGCACGGTGTTTTTGTGATTCGCGGGACAAAAAGGCTGAGTTTCGAAGCTAGAGACACTGACGACAGGGCGCTCTAGAGATAGCCTACTCCTTGACAAGTCCGCCCACAGTCATCGGCCACCCAAGCTGCTCGTACGTCCACATGGACGCCGTGCCGTCGGGCCTGTGGTACGTCATCAGCGACCTGTGCGCGCCGGGCTTCCTGTGGATGTTGTCGATGACCTCCATCTCTCCCGGGGAGAGCTTCACGAGCTGTCCAAACCGCGGCAGGTCAAGTCGCTGCATACAAATAGTTTACGACTGAACGGGGGGACTCACGGTGATGTTCTTCTTCATGCGCTCGACGTTGGCGCTTTTCACAATCGGTGGCGTGCCCCGCTGGACGAGCCAGCTGATCGAGATCTGTGCCGGCGTGGCGTCGTGGCTCTCGGCGATCCTGGCAAAGTCGGGGTCGCTGAAGAACATCGGGTTGCCCTGGCCTGTGGCTCAGTGCCTTTAGCGGTTCTGCCGAGAAAAGCTGGCGGAGGAGACGCGACGCACCGAGCGGGGAGTACGCGGAGAGGAGGATACCCTTCTCGTCGCAGTACTTTTGTAGCGCGTGCTGCGGGAGGTAGGGGTGGATCTCGACCTGGTTGTTCGCTGGCGCGACCTTGGCATGCTTGAGCAGGATCTCCAGGTTCTTTATGGAGAAGTTGGAGACGCCGATGGCGCGGACTTTGCCTGTTGTCCCGCTTAGCACTGCGTACAACAAGATATTGACGAGGCAGGGTTTACCTGTGTCGAGGAGCTTCTCCATCTCGGCCCAAACGTCGACAAATTTGGATGCTCTTCAAATGGCGAGCACGCGAACCTAGAGCGAGGGGATCGAGTTGATGGTGAGTGGTGAACATGGCACGTC